AGTGGGAAAGTTCCCCTCTCGAAAATGGACGTGGACCCTGTCCTCTCGGACACGGTGAGCACGGGGGGCGGATCGTCAAGTGATGGCGGATCCGTCTTCAGCCTCGAGCATCTGTTCGAGGAGGCTGGCGTCGACGATATGGACGATGGTGCGGAACTCGCACTGCTGGAGAGGAGTTTGGAGGATGAAGATCCTCCAAATTAACCTCCAGCACTCAAAGGCGGCCTCCGCCGATCTAGTGCTTCGTCTAGGAAGGGACGAAGCCGACGTTGTCCTTATCCAGGAGCCGTGGCTGAGTAGCTATGGGATATCTGGACTAAGGACAAATAGCCATAAGCTCCTGGCGGCAAGCAGCACAGGTAGAACCAGAGCCTGCCTGTTGGTCAGAAATGAACTTAACGTTTTTCTTTTACCTAATTTCAGCAACGAGGACGTCGTCACCGCTAGGCTGGAGGACAGTGCTAGGGAAATCTGGCTTGTCTCAGCCTACATGCCGCACGACGACGAGGTGGAACCACCTCCGAACTTGCTGAGGATGGCTCTGGCAGAGGCCAGACGCAAAGGAGCCGCGGTTATTATAGGCTCGGATGCCAACTCAAGGCACACCGTCTGGGGGAGCTCGGACACAAACGCAAGAGGTGAGTCATTTTTTGATTTTATTTGTGATGTAGACCTTTTTATCTGTAATAGGGGAAACTGCCCTACTTTTGTGACAACTAGCAGGGCGGAAGTCCTTGATGTCAAGCTAGCCTCTAGGGAAATTGCTCCCTTGATCTCGAAATGGAGAGTTCTAGACGACCACTCCTTTTCTGATCATAAATATATTGGGTTCAGCTTGGACGCCTCGCGCCCGAAGCATAGAACCTACAGAAACTTCAGGAATACCAATTGGGTCCTGTATTGCAGGAAGCTTCGATCAGCTCTCCCAACCGCGCCTGACAGGGATTCGATCCTATCTGCGGACGCGATTGAGGAGCTCGTCGAGGTTTTCAACTCTGTCAGCAGATCTGCTCTTGAAAGCTCCTGTCCTCTGAAAACTCAGAAAAGTAGAGGGAAACCCCCTTGGTGGACTTCGGAGCTAACGGAGATCAGATCTTCGAGTAGACGACTCTTCAATAAAGCCCGTAAAAGTGGCTCTAGCGACGACTGGGCATTGTACAAGGCCGGATTGGCCATTTACAAGTCCGACTTGAAGAAAGCCAAGAGGGCTTCGTGGAAAGCCTTCTGCGACAGTGTAGAGGGTTGTCACGAGTCTTCAAGGTTTAGACGCATTCTTGCGAAAAATCCTACTCCGGTGGGGTATCTAAGAAATGCAGATAGCGGGTGGACTACGAGTAGCGTGGAGTCGCTGAGGTTACTCCTAGATGCTCATTTTCCACGAAATCGCTTTGCTGAAGAAGTGCCACTGGGGGAGCTTCAGGAAGGCTGTACAGCCTTCTTGGACCTTCTGGATGAGCGTCATCTTACCTGGGCGCTGAAATCTTTTAAGCCCTTCAAGTCCCCGGGTCCTGATGGCCTCATACCGGCGCAACTACAGCGAACGGTTAAGGTGTCATGCAGCTGGCTGGCCCCTATCTACACGAACTGTGTTAGATTGGTCCATGTCCCGAAGGCCTAGAGACAGGTTAAGGTTGCGTTCATTCCGAAGGCCGGTAAAAGCTCTCACGTCGGTGAAAAAGATTTCAGACCCATCAGCCTATCCTCGTTTTTGTTGAAAACGCTGGAGAGACTTATGGATCTGTACATCAGGTGCAGAATACCGAGGGGTAAACTGTTACGAGCGCAGCATGCCTATATCAAGGGCAGGTCGGTCGACACTGCTTTGCATGATGTAGTGTCATGGCTGGAGACAGCGCTATTGCAAAAGGAATTCGCAGTGGGCACCTTTCTCGACATCGAGGGGGCCTTCAATAACGTTCGGCCAGAGGCAGTGGTTAAAGCCCTCGAAAAGTTTGAAGTGGAATCGAACCTCAAACACCTCATTTTCAGTCTTCTCTGCGACAGAACTGTCGTAACGGAGTGGGGTAGTGCTAAGTCAACCAGAAAGGTAAATCGGGGAACTCCGCAAGGAGGAGTACTCTCCCCTCTGCTCTGGATCTTGGTTGTAAACGACCTACTTATAGAACTCGAGGAGCAAGGCTGTCGAGTGATAGCCTATGCTGATGATGTGGTTCTTATGGTTAAAGGTAAATTCCTGAATACCGTCTATGAACTCACCGAAGGGTACCTAAACGTGGTATCCAACTGGGCAAACAGAAGCGGCCTAGCCGTCAACCCAAGTAAAACCGAAATGGTTTTATTCACTAAGAGGATCCCAAATGTGCCTCTCCCCTCCTTCGGGGGTTCACGTCTTCAACCTGTTGATAAGGTGAAATACCTAGGGCTCATCCTGGATAGAAAGCTTTCTTGGAGGCCGAACATCGAGAAGAGAGTCAAGAAGGCATCGGTCGCCTTATACTGCTGCAGGGGAGCTATAGGGAAAAGGTGGGGACTCTCACCAAAGGTGGTGTTCTGGCTCTACGAAACCGTAGTCAAGCCAATACTGTTCTATGGTGTGTTCGTCTGGTCGAAGGCGCTCAAAAAGACTACCCTGGCTAAAAAGCTTGAGCGAGTCCAAAGAGCGGCGCTCATCGGGATCTCCGGTGCACTGCGAACCACACCAACGATAGCTCTCAACGCTATATTAAATATAGCACCCGTGGACATTGCCGGTAGGTGCATTGCTGCGAGGTGTGCTATTAGGCTCAGAGAAGCTGGGCTTGTGAAGAGGTCCGAACAAGGACACGCCGCAATTCTCTCCTCCTTCACCTGCATTCCTAAAAATTTGGATCACTGCGTCACAGCGGCCTCTCGAGGCGGCTTTTTCTCTGCTCATATCCCAACGAGGGAGATGTGGAGGGGAAGAAGCCGCTGGAGAAGAGGCGCAGTGAGTTTTTTCACGGATGGGTCGAAGCCGGGAGGGAAAGTTGGGGGGGGGGGGGTTTCTGTAAAGAGCTCTCCGTCAATCTTTGCTTCAGGCTACTGGACCACTGTAGCGTTTTTCAGGCGGAAGTGGCCGCGATCAAGGTGGCGGTAGAAGTACTGTTACGTAGTGTAGCCTCGTTTAGAGAGGTGAGCATTCACTCCGACAGCAGAGCGGCAATACAAGCCCTGAGTGCGCGAACCGTGCATTCAAAGCTAGTCAAGGAGTGTCTGTCCTCGCTAGAATTAGCATCAGGCTACTTCAATATCAGGCTCGTTTGGGTGCCTGGTCACAGCGGAATCGCTGGGAATTGCAAAGCCGATGAGCTGGCCAGGGGGGGTACCCTTGCCCCGCTCACATCGGCATGGGATCGAGTTGGTTCTCCACTAACGTCTTACATTCTCGCTCTGGACCAATGGACCTCGCGGGAGCTCAGCAGACGCTGGTCGGCGACCAGCTCCTGCGCGATCCTTCTGGCCGAGAGTGGATCGCAGGAGGTCGGGGGATCTTCTCGCCTTGAACAAAGTTCACCTCGCCGCCATGGTAGGAGTTCTCACTGGGCACTGTCCAATGGGAACTCATGCGGTGCGGCTTAGAATACTACCCGATGGCAGTTGTCAAAGCTGTATGGAGGAGGGTGAAGTGGAAACATCCCGGCACTTTCTCCTCCATTGTCCGGCTTTTGCTAGGTTGAGATTGAAACATCTCGGCAATCATACTTTTGGCGGTCCATTTTTTCGTTGCTTTTTTCTTCCAATGAACTCATGTAAACTTTAGACTTTATTTAGTATTTTAAATTTATCAAAACATCCAAAATTATTCATTCACAAGTTTTGTGTGCGCTGTAGATAAATGACTGAGGAGGAGCAAAACGCTTCAAAAATTTAATTTTACTCAAAAAGTATATTCCTTGGAGTAGTAGATTGTATCGATTCTCTATGTTCGAAACACTTCCAGCGGTTCCTTTATTTTATTTTAAGGTTTCCAAATGGAAGCTTGTCTCGTCCAGTTTCGAGATTTTACTCCACGAACTCAACAATTTTTCAGCTTTCTATGGATTTGTACATGACAACTGATTAAAATAGTTTGAAATTATAAATAAATAGTTCTTTTTACCCATTTTTCGTTTGCTATTTATATTTTTCCTAAATAAATTCATTAATGTTTAACTACTACTGCTTGTTAGCAGTTTTTGATATTCTAGTCAACCCCACTGACACAGAGTTGAAAACCGTAATACCAAATTTCAAAACTTCAACCAAAATGCAGTTAGGTTGAAAACCGTAATAGGGCCTTAGACCTAAAAGTTCTAGACCTTGTTTAATGTCGTTAGGCCCCCCAAATTATTTCTTGTTGGAGGTAAATCCAAGATCTGTGTGAGGATATCAACATCTGTGTATCTTCAGAAAATTAAATATGATATTATTTTAAAATAGCATCGTTCAAAGAATGTGATTGCTATGTACGCCCTGGTAAAGGCGGTTAAATTAGACGTCGATCTTTGTTGGAGCTTCCCAATTTGAAAGCTAATTATTTAAAAGGTATGTCACAAAACATCTCTTCTACTTACCATTAATAAAATCGAGAAAAGTGGATGATTATCAAAATCACAAAATATGAATATATATAAAATCCAAATCTCTAACCATCAAAACAGAGTACACATTTTAGTTCTAGTAACATTATAACGTACAATGATCCTTAGGATATTCCTTAAAGCCAAAAGTTCCGAAATATTTAACCTCTCTCTGCCGGTCATTTGACAGAAGCAATTTCAAATCTATAACAATCAGCGCAAAGTCTTGAGATTTTTATTTTATATGTTGTATAACTAATAGTAGAAAAACTCTTTGATCAGAACTTTTTATCAGGATCGCGGCAGTACACACAAGGCGCTCCTGCTAACAAATGAGTCCACGAGACCATTCAACACAATCACATATCGGGTAGTGCCTTCGAAATCTCTACCTTAACATAAAATAAAATACGGAGTTGCCAAAGCTATAAGTAACCCTAATTCGAATATAAAACAAAAACAAACAATAATTAGAGAACTTATATTTTTTGTCTCTTTCATGTGATTATTTAAAACTCACAAATTTATGTATGTATAGTTGACAGAATATCTAATATACAAAAGTATATTTTTTTTGACTTTAATGGATGTTTGATGGATGTTCTTCATTTTGATAAAATCGGAACATTCTATAATCCTTACAAATTATCATATAATGCCCTCTCTTCTCTTTTTCTCAATCATTGTAACATATACTAAGTTTATATAATAATTATATAAAACGTATTTAGAATTAAATAAAGAGCTATGAAATCATTATAAATAATCTCAAAATAAATATTAAATTAATATAACAAAAATTTCCAAAAAATAAATATATTTTATATTATTCGCCCAAGAAATGTATTTGAGAATTGATATTATATTTCTTGCTTTTAATTTTCCTCATAATCATCTATTTAAAAAGCTCTTTCACATATTTCATCCCGTCTAAAACGTCTATTCAGGAAATTTGTTTATATAATCACGTTTGAATTTAGGATTTTAAAATACAAGATGGCAATGGCAAGCATTTTGGGCGAGTGTACATACATATGCATGCACAGAGTTATTATTGTACCCTCATTATTCCATATATTTAGATATGTACTTCGATACGCACAACAAATTTTTTACATTATTGAATTGATCTATGAAAACCGTTCTGATGGGTGTTAGTAATGATAGTTAAAAAATTATGTCAGAAATCCGGAAATACGATACGAAAAATACACTTTGGGAAACGAATTAATTTCACTACTTTGCTGGTTAATGACTTCGTGACTTTTCAATTACGTGAGTACTTTCGATTTGGCGTCCTATCACGAATTAACGATTTTTATTCGATGTTTCCGGTATTTTTGACACTTCTCTTTTTACAAATCAGTTTCGCCATACAGTGCGGTACTAAATGACATGTAGTCAAGAGCGCCGGGTACTCCGTTTGGTCCTTTATATGGTGGCATTCTCTGGATGCAGTATTCCGCTTGATCTGGAGGGAGTTCACGTCGAAGTTCATCTGGTAATATATATGGCTGAAAGATAAAGGTTTTTAAATAATTAATTATTTATAATTGAAATGTTAATATGTGTACATTGTACCTTGTCGGCTGCAAGGATTCTGAATGAGTCAATAACTTGTTCAGCGGTATCGGTATCGGTACTTTCGCGTGTCATGAAATCAAGGAAGGCATCAAAATGCACATAACCAGTGGAGTTGGGATCGACAACAGCTAAAATTCTTTGGAAGTCCATTTCGCCTTGTCTGTCTTTTCCTATAGAATAACCCAAGGAAACAAGACATGATTTGAACTCTTCAGGAGTAAGTCTGCCTGTACGATTCTTGTCAAAGTGATTGAAACTGGAGCGGAACTCATTTAATTGCTCTTGGCTGATTCCCTTGGAATCACGTGTTAGAATTTGGTTTTCCACCTCATTAATATTACGATTGATGGAAGTCAATAATTGCTCCCAGCCAACTCTCAATGTTTCCATTGTGTAATTAGTGTAACGATTTTCGAATATCATCGATTCCTGTACAGCCTGGTGGATCTTCTCTAATTCTTCAATGTTAGGCTTGTAGGCATACACAGCCTGTTCATACTCCTTAAGGCGATGCAATTGGTCTTCAAGAGAACCTTGCAAGCCCATTCCGATAGCAGTAACAGCATCCATCTGTCGTTCAATCCATGGTCCAACAATATTCGCCTTTTCGGCAAACTGTCTTCGTAGCATTTCATTATTTTGTTGCTTACGTAACTCGTTCGCAAGAGTTTGATCACGTTGAGGTACCAACTGACGAACGTCACTCCATTTTCTCGTCATGTCATTGGCAGTAAGTGTAGTGTAGGGATTCTCTAATCCTCCAGGAATTTGATGTTGCTTAACGATAGACTCTACTTCACGTACCAAGTTCACAATCAAATTGAACTCCTTGTCAGCTTCTCCCAATGTAGCTTTGAATTGATCGTGCGCCTGTATGAGACCTTGAATTTCCTCCATTGTATGTACAATGAACATATCAACTAAATCTTCACGGGTGCCATCCAACCAGTTATTGAATGGAGCGGCCCTCTTAGCGAACTCCAAATGCAGAATATCAATTTTCTCCAAAATGCGTTCAGCCTCATCCAAAGCTGTACGACGACGTTGAGTGAGCGCACCCAAGCGATCCCATTGATCACAGATACGCTGGCAACGAGTATTAACAGAAACACAGTCATGATATTCCAGAGTGCTAAGGAACAAAAGAAGATAACATAATTAACGAATACAAAAATTATATTTTCATTCAATATTAGCAAATTGTGGTAATATTTTGAAGAATATTTTTATTAGAGAGTTCGTATTTTAACTTTCGACTAATATAGCGATATATATGTTAAAATCAACTAAGTTAATTCAAATAAGATTTAGGGATTTTTAGGGATATTAGGGTTTAATGCAAAGTCTATTATTCAGCTTCAATGGTTATGGTTAATGAATATTCCTAAATTTAATTAAAAAATCACACAAACATAAACGGGTTAGAGGCTGATGAAAAGTAAAAATAGATAAAAATCCCCATATCGCCATATATTGGGCAAGTAGAAGATCTAAAGTTATTGCGTTAAATCCTGGTATTACGGGAACATGTTTTCATGCAATTTTATGCATGCGTATTATGGAATAACGAAAAACATTATATGTATATGGGGTATATAGGAGCTTGGTTAATTCGAGGACCGATTCATACATTTTCGGCAATAAACTGTTGTATATCCAGTATTATACATTCACATAACTCTGCTAAGATATCTTACATATTGACATATTATTACTAAATTTAAATAAAGATATGCATTACGACCTGCAGCTTATTGTGCCCTTCACTCTTTATAGTAAACAAAAAAAACTTGGGGTTAGAGAAACAATGTTGATGAGCTATGCGCATTTGTAAATTCTTTTTACGATAAGTTCACGCGTAATAGCACGCTAGTTTTGTACCCCAGTATGAATTGATATTACCAGTCTTATAGAGGTGTTAGAGGTTAAATATCTGTTAAACATTTTCAGATTGTAATTTCACTGGGGTTTAAAGCAAACCTTAGATTCCTACAAACATTATTCTATTTGTAAAAATAAAATGTTTCCGCATTAAAATATTAAACGCGTTTTCCTCAACACTGCATTTTTCAAATCGGACGACGAATTTCTTATTGCAATTTAATGCTCAGCATTTCGATCAAAACTATAACACTTTTTTACAATTCCCTCATTTCGCGAAAAATGGATGTAAAGATATAAACCTACGAGTTTTACTAGCATGTCTTATACATATGTCATAAGTTGATTAACATACCGTTTTTTTTTTGTTTCAAATAGTACGTTTACCTATCCCCACCATCAATTGTATTACAAAAAGTGGCCCTCTTTAAAAGGGTGTTTCCGACGATGGGCCAAGCAGCATAGATTGTTTTATACACATAAATGCATGTTTATTATAGCCAGAAATAAAGAGAAATTCGATTCCTTTTTCCTTACTTTTAAAAAAATTTGCTTTTTTTTAGGACTTTAGGGTGGCCTAATATCTTAATGCAATTAGAAGTAACACTAAAAGTATTAATATTCGTAATAACTCCGACTTCTACTCACTTCAACTCTTGAGCAATAGCTGCAATTTGTTCTACCCGATCTTGATGAGCGGCTAAGTCGGATTCAAAAGCCTCATGCTTCTTTTTGAGTGCCTTCAACTCATTCAATTTACATTGACGGAAATCTTGAGACTGCAACATCTCCTCCTTACCCCGTGTCCAATCTTCATGAGCATCAGCCTTCGAAACAAAGATAAATGTAAATTGTGGGATTTACTACAGGAAAATATGTCAGATTTACCTTGTGCTTGAACTTTTGAGCCAAATGCTCCAAGCGTTCCAAGCGCATAGTTTCAGCCAAAAGCCATTCTTCGAAAGCTTTCTCGGCTAGTTCCAAACCTTTCCAGGCGTTTGAAATATCGCCGACGGTCTTGCCCTCAGTTGGCAAGTAGGCTGGACGGTTGGATAAACGAAGTTTCGTTTGCAAAGTGTTGAAGTTAGTTTCGAGTTTTGCTTTTTGCTCAACACGTGGCGGCTTGTGTTTGCGGCGATAAGTACGGTATTCCTCCAATTTCTTTTGAACACCAGCCAAAGAATTATCTGCCTGGCGAGAGTTTAGCCATGGCATGGTGCGGCGTATCCACTCCAAAAGCTGCAAGTACAAAATCAAATATAAATACAAAATGTCATTATTTTTGCACTAAAAATATGACTTACATCGCTGGCTAGCCGTTCATACTCCTCCATAAGACGCTCATTTTCCTGATTCACCTTGAGCACTTTGCAAATACGGTTAGCTGCAGTTTCCGCCTGACAATTGATAAGATACATTATTGTAAGCATTTCTCTGCATTACACACATCTGCATTTATTTCGTGTTAGAATGAACGCTTTCAACATAACTTAAGAAAATTTTTAAGTTTAACAAAGCGATTAAAATTGGGTATTCTAGTGTAGTATGTTCATACAATTCCGAATAAAATTCGCTTGTATCTAAATAAAAAATACTCTTCAGGTGGATAACACTATCAGCTTGTAATAATTCCATTACATGTAAATTATTATTACTTAATCTCTGATCGTGCAAGTTATATATATCTGCACAAAATGTTATGCTTTTGTTCAGAAACAAAACGTTTTATAGTTTTAATTAGTGAATCCGCTAGTGTTTATTGAGAGAGTTATCCACATAAAGGTTAATGGTTGCAAACTGAAACGAGCACCGACCTTTTGAGCGCCACTAAAGCAATGATAGTACGATGACACGTACGTCATAACTGCTCGTTCATCTGGCAGCGCAGTATTCTGCAAGTCTGTTAGGAATTAAGTAAGAAAAGCAACAAACAAAACACAGGTTAGTACATTTATTTAAAACAAAAAACAAGCAGCATTTTTAAAGAAGTTCTATTAACAAAATCATCATTGCAAAATTATCAAAGCAACACTTCGTGAGCAATCGCAAAACCTGTAAACTTAGTAAAAACAACGCAAAAAACATGCAGATTATTGTTAGAAATGTGTGCACTTGTAAAACAATCGAAAAAAATTCATTTAAACATTCAGGCAACAGGCGACAGGGAATGAAGCGATGATCTATGGCTACGGATCAAGACAATGACGATACCTGTACTACACTGTACACACTATAATCGTATTCATTTTGCCTCAATTGATTCACTCCAGTGTGTACGGAATATGTGCGTGTGCATTTAGTAGGTTACGAAATTTCGAATTTAGATCGAGAAAATAGTTTTAAATTTTGCTCCAATTAGCATACACACACAGATTTCCTTGAAAAGCATTTAATCATTGTTGATCCGTTTGTGTTATGAGTTTTTAATTTGCCTTTTGGAAAAATAATTGTTCATTAAAAATGGTGTGTCTCTTTATACTATGTTAATTTACTTTCGACTTATTTATAAAAATATATAAGAACCAATTTCGGGTCAATAGAAATTAGTCGAATTGTTTTATTTATTCTGCACAGTTCTAAAACTGACAGAACTATTTCAAACTGTATATATGCAGCAACAACAATTAATTTACTTATTTAGCAGAATTTTGAAAAATTAAAGAGGTTTCTTAGTCCTCTGCTTACTTTTTAAGCCACATCACAAGAAGTTAAAACGAAATGGGTAAGTTAAATAGAAAATCAGTATCAAAACAAAATGAAAAAGTTGTGAGCATAAGGAGCGAGCAGCGTTTAGCGCGCAGCGTATTATACTATGTAGTTACTAAGTATTTTTCACAAATTTGACTAGAGCGCCTAAATGCTATTTATAATTTATGCATAAAGGTTGCATTTTCCAAAAAACAAACTGTAAAAGAACAAAATGAATAAGTGTATTGATGTGAAGTTTAGTCACATTGTAATTCGGGACGTAGGTGTATTGTCTTGTGGGTTCGGGTACATGCGTCACATTTCCAACCTGTTGAGCTCCCTGGAAAGCATGATAATAACAGGACACGTAAGTCATAATAGCGCGTTCATCCGGCTTTGGAGTGTTGATCAAATCTAACGAAGTATTTCGATGTTTTTGGAAAGTTATAAAAAAACAAAAACCAATTTAAGTTTAAGTCTAAACGTTGAATCCATAAATGATGATACTTATATAGCACAAATAAATGTCATTACATATTATTTGCATGTAGACATATATGTGTGTGAAAATACAATGAGTAAGTGCGTATAAGGGCATATCTACATGTAATCTACTCACCATCTGGATCCAACATCCTTGGAATATCGAGATATTTCTCTGCAACATCAAAGGCAGTGTTGAGATTTTCCAATGGATTGTCTTTGGAGAGTTTGGAATAATCAATCAAGTCAGGCCTATGACGGTGAATCAAGGCGCAGAATGCTAAACCGTCCTGTAGAATATATATAAAATATTAATATGATACGGCAATAGTATGTACATACATACATATGTATATATGCAATTGAGTTATGTCCACTAGAGTATGCATTTGAAGTTACCTTGAATGAAAGGTGGAAGTTTTGAACATTGACGTTCTTATAGGGAGCAGTTTTGCGTTGACACCATAGCAGCAAGCCTTCTTTAGCAGTCATCTCTTCAACGGAAATATCCTGAATAGCAAAACGTAAAATGATGGTCCAAATCATGCCCAAAGTCATCTTCAGATTGCCATCCACAATTTCTTCAGCGCCAATCGATACCAAGTGCACACCTTTCGATGCGATGAAGTCCAGCGCCTTATTGACATTCGCGATCTTATGGAAGCGCATTTTGCCTCGATCGGGTTTTGGCAAAGTTTCACCGGAAATAACTTCCAACAACAACATCAACTTCAATCCATTACGGAAATCCTCGTCAATATTATCAATAGATGTGCCAGCTTTGCGCAAATGACTATTGCACCACGCCGTAAATGTCTGTGTAAGTGTAAAAAACAAAAAATAAACAAAACAGGAATAGTAGCGTTATTATTTGTGAAATTGTTTGTAGTTTGAGAAACAATAACATTAACTATGTACGAGAATGTTTGTAGAGATTACACTATAATGCAAAGATTCTCATACTTAAAGTATAGTGCATAGTTTACAACTGGTTTTCTTGCTGAATACGCAAAAAGTTCAATTTACTTTTCCAAAAAACCGTTTTCGAGATATAGACAAAAACACCGTTTTCAAAGTATTTTATTTGATTACCAAAAACATAATGAACATTAAAGTATTATTTGAGTTCGAAAAATAGATTTTTCTTCTCTCCGTAGTATATGGTACATAAATATTGGACAGAACTTTCTAAGCTATTATTTATAAATATTAAAACGACGAAATGAAAATTTTATCACAATTACTTTCTAAGTTAAAAGTACATATGTATCGCATGTGTTAGGTATATGAGTCCAGCTGTAGACACATAAAGCCTGTATGAGGTGCGGAAACTTTAAAATTTTAAATTTTGGGGGTTTGGAGAGTTTAATAGTCAAAATTATTTTTTATTATGTTGATTACATATGTACAGTCTCTGAAGAACGATACAATTTTCAGCTGCATTCATTGCTTACTTTGTCTGTAGTAGCCGCTAAAGTTAGTCGTGTTTTTATCAGCCTGGCGATTTTCGTTTGTTAAAAGCTCACACTTGGAGATTTCTTGGTCAAAACAATACTGTAACGATTCCCCAGCCTCCATATTCGCCAGACATATCTTCATGTGTGTATGTCCTCCTATTTTCGAAAATAAAGAAAACCTTAAAGGGTCGTCGGTATACAAGATAGATCAAAATTGCTATCCCAAAAATCAAATGTGAAAAGTGTTGGAAGAAGCGCTGGCATAAGTGCATAATATCGAATAGGAACTATTTTGAAGGCGACAACATTAATGTAGACGAATGAATAAATATTTTTTTCAAAACACGAACAATGTTTGAACACACCTCGTATACCGCTATTCTACTGCAAATTGAAGTCGTGCTTTTAACCATAAAAATGGTAACATTTTAAAATTGATCATATGTATGTATGTAAATTCTTCATAGATCAAACCATAAATCAATTACATACATATGTACACATCTTGATATAAGTAAAACCAAACTATAAATAGTGGTTAATGCACATTATCATTATTCTATAACACCAATTAATAATAAATACTTAAAAAATGTCCTATATTGAAAACAAGAACAATTTTTTTTATAGATATGAAAACCGAAGCTATGTATATATGTAATTCATAGGGTCTCCGACGTTTCTTTCTGGGTATTACAATCTTTATGGCAAACTTAATATAGTTCTTGTTCAGGGTATAAATATCCGTCGACGAACCAAAATTATTATATAAAAGTTGAAAAACCTACAAAAATGTGTCAGGTATTTCACTTACTTTTACTTTATTATGATATGTGTCATTGTCGCCATAGGGTATATATTTATAAAATATTTTATTTGAACTAGAGATTGTAAAACTATTTTTCGTACATAAAACCAACTTTATAAACCCTAATTTGTGATTTTACAATTAAACTATTTGTTCATTTGGGCGAGAAAAAAGTGTAGAATTTTACGAGCGTAAAATCGCATTTAAAATAAAAATTATATTTCAAATACAATATAGTAAACTTGCTAACATACAAGGCAAATGATTAACCAAGAGTAAAATTATTATAAAAGCAATATTTTAAAAATGCCATGGTGTATATGTATCCTGAAATAAAGCAACAAGATAGTCAGAAAATGTAGTAGCCTGCATATAGAATTTCCTTAATGAAATCTAATGGGTTATTTTATTTAATCAATGGTGATTATAAAGCCTCCCCTATTCAACTGTCAACCTCACCTACACATCGGTGCACCCTATCGATAACAAAAGAGGTCCTGGTGACCGATTATGGGCGGCACACCTTAATAGCCAGCTTCTAAAAAAAAATGACAACCTGACAGCTTGAGGTATAACAAGCTACCACGTGGCTTGAGTTTGGCCCTGTCGACGTAGGGTTGACAGTGGCGGTAATTACTTGCTAAGAAAGCAACACAAATGCCTCAGAGAGCAACCCAAAACAACGTTGACGACCGGAAAACTCGAAAAAAGGATAATAAATGGAAACTCGGCTCATTGAATATAAGGACTATGCTATAGGCTGATAGAATGAATGAAATCGCAGCTGAACTTGCAAAATGTGAGATGGACATCGTGGCCCTCCAAGAAATACGTTGGAAGGACAAAACAAAAATATAAATAAAATAAAAAACCTTACAACGACTTAACATTGATATCAGCATATGCAGTAACCGAAGACGCTAGCGAATTTGACAAAGACTCATTTTGAACAAAACTAGAAGACACATACAACAAAACAAGTAAATGTGACGCAACTATCATCCTAGGTTTAATTCCAAAGTAAGCATTGAAAGTTGCAACAGAAATGTTGTCGGTAAACACTCACTCTATGAAAAAACATCCGACAGCGTAAGACCCATTTGCAATTCCGCAAATTCCACAACAACATTCATTTCGAGTACCGCGTTTCCTCATAACAAAATACACAAAGGGAGGTGGAAGGTACCCGGAAACAATGAAGTGAATCAAGTTGACCACGTTCTTATCAATCGTCGAAGAAAAAACTGCTAACCGACGTGCGCAGTTTCAATAAGGGTAACACTACGACTTAAACTCTCGAACGTGGAGAAAACCAAAGGAGTTAAGAGAAAAAAATGGAATACTAGTAAACTAGTGGATCTCGCGGTCAAAAGCAGATATCAGACCAAAATTTACGAAAAGTTAAAGCAACAAAACTCATCTGACAACATTGAGAAGGAATGGAAAACTTTAAAAAACTCGATCACAATGCTGCAACACATATACTTGGAAATAAAACTAAAAACAACAACACGCAGTGGTTCGATGAAGAGTGTAGAAGGATGATAGATCTTAAAAATGAAGCAAGAAAGAACTGTCTTCTTAAAAACCCGAGCCGCTGAAGAATCATACATTAAAAGGAGGCGTATAGCGACGGAAGCGTGTCAGAAAAATAAAAGAGAATCATTGAAAAAAGAGCTAGAAACCCTGTGTACAGATTTTAACGACAAGCAATCAATCTCAAATTTTATAGAAAAATTATACTAGAAAACAAGGACTTCAACCGAGGATAAACCAAAAACTGACGATAAGTTTACAGATAAGAAGAAAATTGTAAAGAGATGGGCTGAACACTTAAAAGAACTATTGAATGCTGACTATCCCAATGAACAACCGCCATCAATGCAAGAAATACGAGATGCGGTCAAACACATGAAGAACTTTAAGTCGCCTGGGGGGAATAATATGTTATAACAGCTGAACTCATAAAAAACTCAAGCATTCTGTCCATTGAAGAATTCATCACCTGACGACATTGATCTGGGACAGTGAATCGCTGCCAGACGATTGGAATATAGCAATAATAATACCCATTCTCAAAAAAGGCGATAAAATAAACTGCAAAAATTACCTTGGAAATTCCCTTCTCAAGACGGTATATAAAATATTTGCGATGATTGTGACCAGAAGACTCATAAACCTTGCAGAAAAAGTCCTCCGTGAATATCAATGCGGATTTAGACCCGAAAGGTCAACAGTAGACCAAATTTTTGCTATCAAACAGTCCATGGAGAAAAGTTATGAGCACAGTATTGATTTACATATGCTAATTATTGATTTCAAGCAAGCATTCGATAGCATTAATAGGATGACTTTTCCCGCAACATTTCGGAACTGCAAAATACCAGAAAAACTTACGCAAATCCGTATCAAAACTAATGATACAAGACAATAAGTCCGAATTCTTTAGAATTAAGTTTAGAGTAAGACAAGGAGATACGCTATCATCCATAATATTAAACATAATGATGTGCTGTGCCATTGATGAAATAAGTGCCGCAAAAAGAACTAGACACACAAAACTACAATACAATAGAACGCAAATATTTGCATACGCGGATAACATCGCTACAGTCAGCAAAAAATCGACAGGCTGTCCAATACTTTCGCTAATATTGAAGTGGCAGCTGGCCAAATTGGCCTAAAAATCAATGAAGATGAAACGAAATATATGATCACGAAAACACAAAGCAGCACCAAGAGTGAAAATTTACCAATACGCATTTAAAACTGTTAAGGTATTTACTTACCTGAGAATACACAGGCCGCCGATAGGTCATACGCGTCCCTAATGAAACTATTCAAATCAATGCTACTAAATAGGCCATGTATACTGGTCCAATACAAAACCAGCATTCCACCAGTTTTGTGCCACGGAGCAGAATCATAGACGCTACTCGAAAAGGACAAAACCAAACTGTAAGCCTTCGAATGAAAGGTCCTATCAAAAATCTTTGCAGCAATAAGAGATAATGGCGTATAAGGTGAAACGATGAGCTAGACCAGCTTAAAAAAAGGTGAAAATGTCATACGCTTTATCAAAGCGCAGCGAATAAGATGGCTCGACCATGTAACGATAACGGACAAGAGAGCACAGAAGAAAGTTGCAAAGGCACATGTGCAGCAGGTCAAAGCTCACAAGAAGTTGTAGCGCTAAAAGATGATGATGATTCTGACCAAAATTTGAAAAATAAATCAGTTTGTTGAAGGCCGATAAGTTTGGCTTATTATTCATATAAAACAATTTATATGCGAATAGAAATATTCATACATACTTATATATACGCGAGTACATATGTATATATGTGAAAATATTCCAACTTTGGAAAATGAATTAAAATCTTTTGTAAATTAAACAAGATCAAATTAAATAGGACTGTTAGAAAACGGTATCTGCGTATCTAAGAGTTCAAGAAAAGTTACATACAAATGGATATAACATATCAATACAAATCGAAACGAGTTGCAGCCGCAGCCAACACAATCCGTTATGCATTGGTTTCAATTGCATCGCCGTTTTGCACTATACATTGACATTGTATGCACACACATGCAGAGACATGAATGTGTGCATGTGCCAATGCAGCTTTTGGTATGGCTCGCCACAGTTGTGAGGTGAAAAGACGCGATTGACTAATCCCATATAATGACTTACACCCAAACCAATATTCTTGTTTTCTCTCTTCGCGCTATTGAAATGCAACAGATTTCTTTCTTTTGATAACGACAATGAGCAACATTAAGTTTATAGCTGTTTTGCAGCACAACTGGTATCTTATAACCATTCACTACGTACAACAATAACAATGAAAACATATATGCACCAGGAGTGGTGGTGAGGCCAGACAAACTACAACGCCATATCTCGCCGAGTCTGAACCAATTCGACAACAATCCGGTTTCCTTTAGTTTACCGTTTTGGTAAATTCAACCAACAGGTTCTACCTCCATTGAAGAGCTGATAGTTTCAATTGGCAACTCATTTCACTATGTGGCATAATTAGACAAACGCTTAAGTATAAGTTTGTATATAAAATAGTTATACCGTTTTATAGACAACTATCGTAGGATAAAATGTTCTAGTTCACAATATACGTGTATATAGGAATATATGGCATGATGGAACAATATCAGACGAACTACTTATGTATGCATGTGAGTATTGTACACATATAATTTACGCACAGCACCCTCCAAATGATTCATTGAATTTGAATTTGATGACTTTTGATATTTACTGACTTGACCACAATATAATTTAAAAATGAACCAATGTATCCGCTTTTGAACACATTTTTTTTTGCTTTTAAGGAAAATTTATAAGCCGACACAAATCCGGTAGATGGCGCTAAAATTAACGTAATGTAAAGTGTTAAAGACGTTAAAAATTTAACCCTAACTGTATTGTTTAGCATTATAGCTGAAGCCTCGATCGATAATCTGTGCAAAACTTCGTGAAGATACTTTGTCAGATAAAAAAATATCTCAAAAATATCTCTAAAACTGAGGGACTAATTCGCATACATATATATAGACAGACGAGCATGGATAAACCAACTCAACTCGAACACGCTGATAATTACATACATATGTATATATTTTATTTTATAGGGTCTCCAACGTTTCTTTCTGTGTGTTACAAACTTCGTGGCAAACTTAATATACACTGTTTTGAGTATAAGAATATATACAAAGGTATTCTTTAAGATATGACTTATTCGAACTATAATACATAATATAAACATATAATATATATGCATATAAAATTAATCCATTTAAGGGTTTTTTCTTGAATTTGCCTCTAAAAATAAGATAAGCATTTGATAAATTGTATAAAACATTTATAAATTCAAAAATAGGATTAAAAAATGGTTGTTCCTCAAATAGGCATCTGTCCCAATGAAGCGAGACGCCTACTAGTGTGGCACACATAAAAAGGGTAAAATTTTAAGTTATGTTAATCTGGTTGACTAAGTGTGACAAACATATACATATATAGACACTTTGATGCCTAAATACAGCCGGTAAAGCTCCAAATTATAGAAAATGATAAATTCTATTACGAAATCATATAACTGAAAGGACATTTAAATATATTTATAATTTAGAAATTTCTGTGTCATGAGTAAGTTATGTTTTTTTTTTATTATATTATTATATATTAATAAATTGTCAAAGTGTCGACGGGGAATTCTGCAAAACTTATGCTCTTTAATATCTAATATTTAATTTACATATTAACATACACACCATGATTTTACATACTAAGAATGTGCTTAGTACAAAACGGAAAAAATTTAGTTTTACTTAAGCTTTTGCTTTTGTTCGCTGTTTGAACCATTCACTCTGGATTACCACGAGATTCTGATTGACCACACTGTCTCCTATAAATTCCTGCCAGCGTACGTTTATAAATTAGCAACCTACTGCTTAAGCGCATGCGCAAAATAATCAAATTTTGAGCAATATTTTCTAATGCTCTCTAGGAAAATACATTGATGTGCTTTAAAAGCTCAAAGCTCGAACCGTCGCACACTTCTTCACCGCAATCCATTTTTGGGCGAATGAAATTTGACGCTGCTCATTGAGTTTTCATTTGTCGTGGTTGCCACAGCCGGCGGAGGTGGTCTGTCTGACGACACACAAATCATTAATAATTATTATGCATATTATGCTTCACCACAAATATTAGACAATTTCAAAACTATTCTAAGACTATTGGTCTATGAGCAGGTGCTACATATACAAAAACGTTTAAAGTGCATCGATAATTGTGACAAATGTGTCCAACCTCTCCCCCTCTCCTTGTATATTCAAATTTCACACTGCGATATGCACTCGGTTGTGAAATTATAAACGCAAAGCAGAATGCAATATTTAATATAAATAGTATCATTAAGAGCCACAACAAATGAAATACACAAATGTAGCTGCTCATTAAAAACAACGACATGTGCAAATACCTCGATCATTGCATTTTTACATTCTAGTTATCAAAAATATAGTGCATTCAGTGCTGCAAGGTCATTGTAGTTTCCTTCCCAGTCACGTAAATCTCTCAAATATATGTTAATCATCTTAGCATCACCTCACCACGCATTGACATGCGGTGTTCAGCCATGGAACAATTTCTTTGCCGCAAAAACCCCTGAAGTGCTATGCCTCATTTATCAAATAATAAGGCCTGTCTTAGCGCGCAAATATCAACGGTTATTAGTTCAAGCGCCTTTGAGTTGTTGGTTTTCTGTGTACACCGAGAAATGATTATCTTAAAATTGTTTCTTGTAGCTGATATACATTTGTGAACATTGTTAATCACACTAACTAATCAAGGTCAAACCACACCGTTATATTAAAAGCGTTGAAAACTTCCATCTTGGAGACATACTTATCCGTAGTCATACAATTATGGCGTTCAGGTCAACGCTTTGAAAGGGCTAGAGATATTTAACAAATTACGTTGTCTTTAGTTTCAAGCACTCAACTAATCATTTTGGCAAATAAGAAATTTTAATGAAATTTTATGTCTTTTACACATATTTTATCTGCGTACACTCATACATGCTCATTCGTGTATATTTTCTCGTGATTATATATAAGGAATGTGGTGAAAAATAATATTATCGAGGCTAATAATAATGAAGAAAACAGTGTTTGGTGGTCTCGAACACATTTCGAAGGTAGCATTGAAAAACTCATAAGCCAAAAATTAAAATTTATGCATAATTTTGAGATTTGGTGATTTTATTTCAGTAAGTAAGAGCCCCAAACACTTGTATGCTAGTTTATGTGTCGTGTTGAATCTATTTTTAAAAATAAAAAGCTCTTTTCGTTAGACTTTATCGGAATCGAAACACAAAAAATAAGAATAATATTTCTAAACATATACATTTGCACGACGGCACATGTGTGTTGTTACATACATATATTCACATATACATAAATAAATGGACTTATGAAAGAAATTTAAAAAGAAATCCATTTTTTATATATTGAAAAAGTATTGAAAAAGTGTAGCGAAGATAAATATGTGTTATTTAGAAATCAACACTGTGTGAATAATAAAACAGTCTATACTATGTAAGATGAAAAATCTATTTTAAAATTTTTTTGAGGTTATTTTTAGAAAAATGGTCATGCTTAAAAAACTAATTAGATTTCAAAAAAATCGATTGTTGCGAATGATCTCATTTCGTGATGAATTCGTCTGTACCAAATACTTATTCTTAAAGCTCAATAGCATCTACAGAATATAGTCACTTACCTTCTTCTGTTGTTTCTCCCACGCGGGATCTAAAAGTCCTTCTCGCTCCCATTCTTCCTCCTGCTCCATATAGCCATCTCCATACTCCATGGAGAGTCCGTTCTCCATCATCATGTTGCTTTCTTTACAGTTATTATCCGTTAAATTTCGTATCGAAGGTTTTTGTATAATAATTGTTTGTATTTCGTTTCTAGAATTGTTGATTTGTTCCAATTAGCAAAATCATGTAAATTTTATTATTTAAGGTTGAAACTTAGAAGGATGTAAGATGGGCGTTCTTAAAGTACTTTAATTCGTTCGGAGTATGCTTAATATTAAATCTGAAATTCCAAATAAACAAAAAATATAAAGAATTTGCTTTAGCACAATACAAAAATCAACAACTTGGAAAGTTATCTTTTAAATTAATTTTTAATTCTTTGAATAAACACTACAGATATTATTTATTTAATAATTTTGACACAGTTCGGCCACAGTTTGGAATAATGAAAAAATGGTTAGGCAGGAGATGCCTTGTCGTTGTATAACACTCGTTAAAAATAGTTCCTCTTTTTCGAATTAATTTTATTTGTTATTTTTATTTAATATTTATACATATGTTTATTTATATAAGTATATACATAAATATATATGTATTTGCATGCATAAAGTATGTACATGCATTTATGTATAATATAAAACATACGCGTATGTACATATGTATGTATGCAATTAATACAAATAAATAATAATTATTTTTTATTTGCTTCAATTTAAAATATACACAAAGACATTCTGTATGTATGTATGCAACAATGTATGTAGTATGTTGTCAATATACTAAGACAAAATAAAATGAAATATGTAAAAACCGTGTCTGATCAGTACGTTTCGCTTGAAAAGAGAATGACCCGCTCGCGTTGGTAGCCAACTCAAAACTAATGTTGCGCCAATGATCTGCGTTTGGACAAACTGCGCCCCAAAGCAATGAAAATCGCGCTGTAACCGCAACGCAATCTTACCGATGCTCAATTATACTCGTTCATACAGTTTTATCCACGAATATGTGAATATACATATATATATATATATATAGATATATATATATGTACATATGAAGGTGCATACCTTTGTATGCTTATTTCCAAGTAAACAAACGGTATAACGAGTAAAATACTCGTACTTGTGAGAATATGAAGTGCTTCAAACAAGATATGTAGATGCTATTTTGTTTTCGCAAATGTACACATCTACACACATATATAAATATCTACATGTTTGCCTACATGTAAATATGATATAAAATACCGAAAATGTGTGGGTGGGCGGCGAAACTAACCGAGAAATTAAAGAGCAATGCCAACTCCAAATTGTTTCAGTGGTAGGAAGATGAAAACGTACAATTCACTATTTGTATCTTTACGGCACCATATGTATGTAAATACACATAGCCATGTAAATATGTATATTCACTTCTTGATACTATTTCATGACTCCGACCACTGGGCGACTCGTTAGGAAAGTGCAGGAGATCGCACTTTGAGGCAGTCTCTCTTTTGAGGGAAACGAACAAATACAGGAAAGACTTGACAATCAAGTACTTATGCATATCTGCAAAAATGTATAAACATATGACTGAAAATGTGTTTACATGCTTCTATACGTACAAATCAACACAAATATTTTAGTATATGCAGCTATAAATATAATATATACATATGTACATAAGTATGTATGCTTATATCATAAATCTAGATATGCAATTTTATCACTGGATTGTTTGTTAATATTTTTTCGGAAAATAGCACTTAGTCGAAATTCAGTGAATATAAAAATTTAGAACTATTCCCATGATCCCTGTGCTAAAAATGTCTCTTCTTCAAAGCATTGGCACGATGCAAGGATAGAACGCTCTCAATAATATCAGTAATTCTTAAGTACATACATACGCAATGTATATATATAACAAATGAATATGTTTTTTCACCTTATTAGCAATAAACTTTTCATTTTCTTTAAAATGGCTCACAAGTGAAATATTTCTCTGTGTACCATATTTATTTTTAGGTAAACTGTTTCATAACATTACCACCCACTCGATCCACTCTCGCTCAGATATATTTGCTATGATTTAAATATATACAATTTATTATTTTAAAATATGTTTCCCATTATTTAATACCTTTAAATGTGCATATGGTAGCACATATGAACATTAATTTATATAGCATTAAGGAAAATGCGAGGCTATGGCTATTTAATTTTATATTGTCTCCAACAATTTCTGGAAAATGCTTTAATCTATTTTTTGCACTGTGGACGCCGCACAGTGGGCTGAATTCCAAATCTAGTTGGACAAAAGTTTCTAAAAATAAACATGTGTTTAAATTAATAATTTTTCGCAATTAATTTTTAGAAGTTACATCTGTTATACACTATTTTACCCTAAAGTGGTCCAATTTGTACAATATTTTTGGATAATGTAAATATGCCTTAAACTAAAATTCATGCCAAATTAAATGAAGATAACATGTCAAATAAAAAAGTTTTCCATATAAGGACTTAAAAAATTACATAATTTTGATCGGTCAGTCATTTTGTTCAGTCAGCTACATACATATATGCCATGGCTGCCCGAAGTAAACATTTTTTCAGAGATTGTACCATTGCCTTGAACAATAATCTACGCCAAATTTCGTGAAGGCTTTGTCAAATAAAAAAAGCTTTCCATACAAGAACTTGAGTTTGATCGGTCATTTTGTATGGCTTCTAATATATGATATAGTTGTCCGATATCGTATGCAGTTAGTTAAATCGACTCAGCTCATTATGCTGATCATTTATATATATGCATGTACATTTTATAGGGTTTCCAAAGTTTTCGTCTGGATGTTACAAACTTCAAGGCAAACTTAATATACCCTGTTCAGGATATAAAAAAAACGATAAAGTCATCATATGTGTATATATAATATATTGAATTAAAATATGAATAAGATTAACATAGATATTCTTAAACACAAAATAGAACATCTGAAGGTCGGTTGCTACCTCATACCTTAATACTATATAAATTTTTCCCTTCAGTTATTAACGACATTTCAACATTTTACAAGACATTTATTCAATTTACAATATTAGAGTTAATTGTCAAAAATTCTTTACAGTAAATAGTAACTTACTAAAAATAAGTTTGATTAAAGAAAAACTTTTGAAGAATTAAGCAGCTAGTTATATTTCATTAGATGATAGGAATCACATCTATCAACTGGAAAGTTGTTCATTTGAGAAATTTATCAAGTACTTTAATTATTAAATTTAATTTTAACTACCTAACACATTGGCGCGTCAAGCTGTTCATAGAATAATTGATCTAAGGGTTTGTCACCCATAATTCTAAAGAAAAACAAATGATCCAGACACTTAAGGCTAATAGATCGTAGTGCCGGCAACCGAAGTAAAAGTTGTGCAAATCGGCTGTCATCTCCAGGATGTTCTGTACGACAGTGCTCATCAAGGCAAGCATAAACTTGTTCTCTACAAATTTCTACATCATTTCGTCCTTTTAAACCACGTATGTCAGGATTGAAGAGAATAATAGCTTTCAAGCACGATAGCTCGGAGCGATCAATGCTCAGCCTCTTCATTTTTACGCTAAGTTCTGATAAAATCCTATCAAAAATAGTTGCCACACCCGCTTTTATTGCGCTGTTACGATGATAGGAAAAATTATGATTAAGAAAAAGTTGCTGAGGTTGACGTATTGGAGAACGCCGCCCGAACGAAGTATCGTGACCTCCTGATGAAGCGTAATCAGAATCCAATGAATCAATACTACACCATGCCACATTTGCTATGAGTAATTCATTCCAACCTGCCTTGAGTAACAGCACCTGATCGTCACGCTGCAATTCTGCAAAATGTGGCATTTTCCGGGCATATTCAACCATTTGATAAAGTTGTTTATTCACCATTTGACAAAGATGTGAAACAGCTCCTTTATAATCAGGTTGTACCATGGAATTCGGTCCAACCCGAAGGAATGGTATAGCATTATCTCCAGTAAGTTGTTCACTTTTTTGTTCTGCATCAATAATACGTTCTATTGTTAAATCACGGACAGAACTACTTGGATTGAAATCATCATTTGAACGAACATTTTGTGACCTTGTGCCACGTTGTCTTTCTTCTTGAACGGCTTCGCGCTTCATTCCACATGCCAGGCATTTCTGATACCGGCAATATTGACAACGATTGCGTTGCCTCTTATCGATGATGCAGTTTCTATCTTCACGACATGCGTAAGTCAAATCCTTTCTTACGGTACGTTTAAAAAAACCTTTACATCCTTCACAACTGTAAACTCCATAGTGTTTTCCACTTGCTCTATCACCACAAATGGAACATAAATGTTTTGATCCACTTAATGGGTGATTTGGGGGATATTGTTGTTGCTGTTGTTGTGTACCGAGTTGTAGCTGGTTAGGATTGTGACCTGCTACTGTCGCTGCCACTGAACCAGCATTTGTCATATTCATTGATTGCAAACCAATTGCCCCAAAAGAAACAGGACTTGGTGATTTTGGTGAGTATCCACTAGTGTTGTTTTCATTCAATATAGAAATGTCTGGTTTCACTTCTTGTGGTGATAATGGTCCCAAACGGAAACCCTGATCTTGTTCACCACCGTCCATTTTATATGAATTTGAATAACCTTTATCAAAAAATATATTACGAAAACCCTCTGAAAAACTTTAATAATGAGCAATTTTCGGTGGCGATATTTTATTTTCGCAAATAAAATTTTCACCATTACCAACGAAGTACACCTTATACTGCGTTCGAAATGTGTTGTTACATTAGATACATATGTACATAGAAACTTCAAGTGCCAAATACCAATATTTCAAGTCTGTGCCAATAAAAGTTATGAAATGGGGATATTTGTATATTTAACACATTTTAATTTTTATGTATGCGGAATATTTCAAAATTTATTAAGTGAATAGTGAAATAAAATATAAATAAAAAGGTTCACGATCCGTTACAGAGGGACAATTATCTGAACTTGATCTGATTTGTAAAAATCTAACAACGAAACATTCACTTTCGTAGTATAAATTGTATTCCTAATATCAGTTTTAGTTTTTATCTTATTAACTGTTGCTTTTATAAACCACCTGTTCTTAATGAAGGAAGAATTTATCATGAAATGTATTACGAATTGCGCATTAGCAACAAAGTAGTCAAGAACAAAATGAACTAATACTATGTTCGCACCGACACAATTATTATAAGTGGAATGTAAGTTTTCAAGGGTTTTTAGTGAAGACTGTGTTTTCGTTTGATAGATTTTGTATGGATGAAAACACAAGTTTTTGCGTGGAAACCTCTTTTGTCTATGAAAACACGAATTTTGTGTCGGTGCGAACATAGTATATGGGAAGTTTTTTAGAAAGAATGGACTGAAACGTACACACGTTCAAACATATTGACAACGCTTCCGCTGCCACTCAGCGCTAACATGTTTTCTTCGAGACAGTTCAAATCAGATGGTTTACACTTTGACAGCAAAGCCAAAGTTGTATATAAACCAACTTTAAGGATATCATTGTAATTTATTATATATTAATTTTATTACTTTGTCAGATGATTTATTTCAATGTCCATAGAAAAACACCTTATGCACTAATTATATTTGTTTTTTTTTATTCTAACGAATCTGATGCCGCCCTTACTTCAAGCGTTTTCTTTTATCGATGAAAATGTTGCCTCATTATATGGCAACATGATTATATGCAACTCCAACTCATTTGCAATATCCATTATTGGGCATAACAAAACTAATAGATTCATTAAAATTAGTAGACAAAGTTGATTAAAAAAAATAACTATTAAGAACGAAGAATAAACATCATCAGGGAAAAAAATTTTGTTGGAAAAGAAAACGCTATAAATTATGTGTCCACAAGTGTTATACATCTATAGTTCTAATTTATTTTTGACATACAACACTGTATTTATATAACACTTATTTTCAAACACAGCAGTACAATCAATTCACCAAACTTAAAATGCCGACTTTGGTGAATTTTAGTTTTGCTAAATTTTTGTTTATATTTACGAAGAAAATATCATGTATTTCAAAACAGTAATTGCACAGACTTTTGTTTAACTACTTACACTATCGCAAATGTTGCGTCTCAGAACGTCGAATGAATTACTATTATTTATACGGCTTCGCAACCAGACCGATCACAACAATACCAAACAATTTGTCATTCAACACTCATTGCTTTGATATTACATACACAGTACACAAAGAAATGTTAGGACAATGCACTATGTGATAAAAAGAGACAACACGAAATGAGTGAATTATTTAATCCATCTTCCAAATACAGTCTATAATTGCAATTCGCAACACCTACATGCACTTACGAAGAGTGCTGTGTCCCAGGTTGCCACATAAACATTTTCATTACAATTAACAGGAAACCTTTAATGAATGAACTACAATAAAAGCTCAGGAAACCATGTACCAGCCTTCTATGAGTTTGACACTTTAAATTATTGTATAAGCCTAAGATGTATACAATGCTTTAAATCAACTAAATGAAAATAAATACATATAAACCAGAAAATTAAGCCAAATTTCTTATGACAACAAAGAATCTTTAAATATTTTATTACTTATGGAGGAAAAGGAAATATTTTACACTATCTCTATGGGCATTAAAAAGGACCAAGCAATATAAAAGATTACTTTCAAGAAAAGGCCTTGCAATAACTTTTTGTTATTTTAGTTTTTTCGATTATTTTAATATATAATTTTTTTACATGTTACATTTCAGTAGCATGCTACTGTCTTTGGCATTACCTCGCACCTCCGGGAATTATAAAATTTTCTGCATTTGAAAGTATCATTAAAAGTACAAAAAAAATTTATTTATATGAACAAAATTTTTGTATTTCAGTTTAAATTCAAAAGATTATTTACAAAGTTAAAGACATACATACAGTGGCGAGCAGAATTGAGTGCATGTTTACAAAACTGACTTTCATCACCCATAAAAAACAAAACCACACAAGCAAATCCAAAATTTTGTTTTATTTTATTTTTATGTTTTAATTTGTAACAAATTCTAGTAAAGAAACCAAAACAAATGAGAAAAATTCTAATAGTTTGAAAGAAAAATTTTGCAAATAGCAATATAATAATCTTTCGTTTTCTCTTCCAAACTCTTCGAATTTTTCTTATTAGTCATTGTTTCTTTACTACAATTTGTTACGAATTAAATATTAATAATAAAACAAAAAAAATTTTGGATTTGCTTGTGTGGTTATGTTTTTATAGGTGATGAAAGTCAGTTTTGTAAACATGCACTCAAATCTGCTCGCCACTGTATATATTTTCTGCTTAAATTTAATAAAGAATACTTCATTTCACTTCACGGTGTTGATTTCTGGTGTGTAGTCAGAATCGCAATTTTGAGGATCATTACTTATTTTATATTATATGCAGATGTTATGTAATGCCACACAAACGTTAACAAATTTTGTAAATTTCGTGGGATGGTTTCTCCCTCTCTTGTCATATCCTAAAATTATCCAGCATCTTTTTAAGATTCCAATACTTCGTAACTTGCACCATCCAAAGCGTTTCTGTAAGGGGTTTTGCAACATAATTGCAGTGGGTAGCCAGAATCCGCTGCTAAAATGTAAATAAATTTCATTCGGTGGTAATAGCGAAAAAATGATAATATACCTAAAAGCCATGAATTTACATTACCATTGTGCTGAAATTGTTCTTCCAAAACTCTTGAGTTTGAGTGTTTCCAAACAAATGAATCGTGCACCACCGTATTGGCAGTTGATAGCCAAAATTTTGTATGTGTGGTCACATATCTGACAAAATAAAATTTAACAAATATCATATTTATTCAAAAAATATATTCTAATATCATTTTACTATCATGGCGTTGATGCTATGGTAGCTTTTTGTATTAAAGTACATATGCTCGTCTACTGATTTTTGCAAGCCGATGTGAACACCATCAACGCACCCAATAACTAAAAATTAATTATATTTAGCAATATTACTATTTGAGTAATTTATCTCCAGAGATTTTTTACCGCTGCACAAACCATTCCTTCCATGTAAGGGAATACTCTGGTGCAAACCGTATAAACTGTGGGCACAACTTCGTTTCCATTTCTTTAAGCTCATGTGATGTCAGCTTCGAAACAGTTCTTTGACACATCCTAACCAAATAGTCACTGCTTACCACTAGCCAAAAGTGGGATGTGGCTGCCAATTGTAGCACTACCTGTATTATTTAGGACATATTCAAAAGCCTCTTAAGTTAGACGAAATTGTTAATGAGGCTTCATAATTTGTTTTTTGTATACCTACACTGTATTCAACAGTGCCAAAGGATTGTTCCGATCTCTGCTGCCTCCGCACTATTTTCTCATCTTCGTCCATTGTATTCATCTACAAGTAAGTGCCGTTTCACATTGGGACGCAAAAGAGTCTCAAACCAGTTTATTGTGGGCGAGGGGACGACGAGGAAAGACGAAGGGACCGTGCCACTCGTGTTCGGGTGGCACGCTTTGTGTTCTTGTTCGTAACAGCTCGCTGCTACCCTTTTCAGCATTCCTTTTCACTTTCAAATCCTTTGAATGGTTGCAAGAGCGCTCGGTTTCAAATGAATTCGATCGCAAATTTGAGTTCTGTTATCTATTTTTGTATGTAATATGCAAATATGTATGCATAGAATAATAGAAATATTATGACAAATTGTAAATAAGGAGAAAATTAAGATATAGATTATGGAGTAAAGAAATTATGAATTTTTAATACGCAGTAAAGAAATTATGAGTTTTTAATACTTAAAGATTAGGAAATTGCTATTATAAATTTGGCCTTGAAAATATTAGTTGCGGATATTCAATACATTCTTGTGGATTAGGGAATTCCCGTCTTTAGTATTTTTTTGAAACTATTTAGCGGGTAGGTACTTGTATTATGCATATTGTTCTACTATATTCATGGTAATTCATTGCAAGCAAAATGTGTGACCATCATCTCAACATACAAATGAAATACGCAGCATGCAGTGTTGCGCGGTGTTGCGCAGTCGAACCGCACAAATATTTACGAACATTTTGTGAAAAGGAATGCAGAAAAACTAGACTCGAGTTGCTGGACTCTTTTTGACCGTGTGAATGCCCAGAGCGACACCAAAAGAAAATTTGAAAAAGATCAGACTCTTTTGCATCCCTGTCTGAAACGGCACTAACCAATCCTAAGATTTTCACTAATACATACGCAAAAATGTCCCACTTGGTACGGGTTACCTCAAAAATTCTACTACTAAAATCACACTTGGTACGGGTTGCCTACTTATATTCTACTACTAAAGTCACACGTGGTACGGGTTGCTAATACAATGTCCCCATCACTTTCACTAGAGCTCATATATAAAAAAACAAATTCGGATCCTTTTGATATTGAATTTGCTTTTGTTAGTTTATTCAAAATTGCAACAGTTTTGACAACTCCACATCTATTGTGATCTAAAAATACAATCCAAAGCAAATTTAAAAACTATTGTGAATTGTAAATACATTACGATCCGTTTGCTATCGTATCAGAGAACGTAAATGGATAGAGAAGGAGCAAATGTTAAATCAGAGAACGTAAATGAATAGAGAAGGAGCAAATGTTAGCTGTACCAGAGAACGTAAATAAATAGAGAAGGAGCAAATGTTAAATTAAATCTTTTTGAGTACTAACAGCAGAGAACGTATATGAATAGAGAAGGAGCAAATGTTAACTGAAAACTTTTTGAGTACTAATTTGTAGTTCCAGATGAGGGAACATCGAAAAATATAACTTCGAAAAATAAAAATACACCACGCAATGTGCGAAATGCTATAAATAGACACAACGAATATTCCTAAATGAAAAATCGTTGCGCATACCTATTTAGATTTATGTTTTCAATTTCTATGAAATGACAAATTTATAATTATGAAAAGCCTTCTGAATTAAAAATCTGTATTACCGGTAAAAACCCCAAAATTCATAATAAAATAAACATTTAATAGGCTATTTTTCCAACTTATGTATGTGCGTTATGTGAGCAATTGCTTATTAAACAAAGGATAACAATAAAACGGTGGCTAAGCGGTCGCGTTTCCATTTATATAGTGGCTTAGGTCGCAGGCGTGAAGGAGTTAAGCTCAATCCGAATACGAACCTATACGTTCGAATCCTGAAACTCATGAAACTGAAATTTTATTTAATTTTTTATTTTATTAATTGGAATCTAGGCATATCATAATTCAATTACTTTAATATCATATTTTACTTCCTGATATAATTAAAATATATCAGGAAAATATGTTCATATGTTTAGGTTTATTGCATATTCCCTTATTATGCGTATTTACACAAATGTGATAATCACACATACATTCTTAAATACACGTACGCTGATGCTTGCTTCTTCTTGCCCCGCACAAGCAATGACTTTTGTCTACACTTTTTGCTTTTTGCGAGAAGCAAGTTGAACGATCGCAGGCAAGGAGGGATTGGGGCGCACCGCCACATAATTATTTCAGATATATATTTTATTTATCGAATTCAGTTTGAAAACGATTATAGGTATGAATTTATTTGTATTTATATTTTTACGTATCTATTAATTATATTACGTCAATAAGTCATAATGCATTAGTATTTTTCAATACAAATTAAGCAACATATTAATATATTATGAGCCCTCACTTGACACGCCTCTGTGCATGGTGGCAAGCCAACGAAATAACGGCGAGTTCGCGCGGACATTGTGTTGTTGAAAAAAACCAAATGACGATTTGGTCGACAAACATACATATATACATATGAGCTCGCATACATATTGACGCCGAATTTTGGGCATTTGGCGGAGTTGACAAAATTTGTTTGAATCGACAATGTCGGTCGGCTATGTTGTCTTGTTTGTCCGTTTTGCAGTGGTTTGCTATTGAAAGTTGACTTATGCTCTTTTGAAATATTGCGATTACCGATTGGGCTGCATTTTCATAGCGTCGTATTTAGATAAAATGGGCTAAATCTACAAACTATAAAATAATGATAATAAGTAAACATATAAAAGTACTATATGCAGTGTGCTTAGAATATATAGAAGTAGTTAAAGGTTTCTTATGAATTGCAATTTTATATAAATTTTATAATTTAATGCCATAAATAGTGCATAATATGAAAAAATATAAATATTATTTAAACTCGCTAATAGGTCATGTTGCCAATGTGTGGGCAACATACAAATACGAGGGGGATGGTAGGATTTTCAGTGATACAAATTGTAAAATTGAAATTTTGCTGATTCTTCAATTGTACTGAAGACATTCAAATTCAATTTCATTCATTTTAATTTTCGCGCATTTGCGGTAGGAATTCTATATGAAAACCAAATGTGGTTTACCAGGCGCACAGAAAAAATAGCGCGGCGCAGAGTTATGAACGAACGCACTTTGCTTTGAAGCAGCGCACGTTCCTTATGAATGAATTTGTTGTCGTTGTAATATGAAATACTTAGAAAATAAGCCGCGAGTTCGCTTGAATATTATTGGTCGATGATGGTGCGTCTACGTTTTTTTGTCACTTGCGCGAATGTTTGATTTTTTGCGAAAGACATATTGAGGGACATACATATGTACATATGTGTACATATATGCAAATATATTTGGACATGCGAATGAAAGAAGGCAATTTCAAGAATATTCACATACAGACATATGAACATTTGAAGCATAAGTCAACTTTCAATAGCAAACCACTGCAAAAAGGGCAAACGAGACAACATAGCCGACCGACATTTTCGCAAAATTGTCGATACAAACAAATTTTGTCAACTCCGCGACGATTCACACAATTTGGTGTCAATATGTATGCGAGCTCATATATGTATGTATATACATATGTATGTTTGTGGACAAAGTCGTCATTTGGTTTTTTTCAACAACACAATGTCTGCGCGAACTCGCCGTTATTTCGTTGGCTTGCCACCATACACAGAGGCGTTCTAACTTAGGACCCTTAGTATATTATTATGTTGCTTAATTTGCATTGAAAAATACTGATGCATTTATGAATTATTTTCGTAATATAATATATATTATATATATATATATAAATACACATATATTCATACCTTTAATCGTTTTTAAACTAAATTCGATAAATAAAATATATATCTGAAATAATTATGTGGCAGTGCGCCCCAATCCCTCCTTGCCTGCGATCGTTCAACTCGCAAAAAGCAAAAAGTGTGGACAAAAGTCATTGCTTGTGCGGGGCAAGAAGAAGCAAGCATCAGCGTACGTGTACTTATGAATGTATGTGTGATTATCACATTTGTGTAAATACGCATAAATATGGAAGTTAATTATGCTATTAAAGTAATTGAATTATGAAATGCTTAGATTCCAATTAATAAAATAAAAAATTAAATAAAATTTCAGTTTCATGAGTTTTAGGATTCGAACGTATAGGTCCGTATTCGGATTGTGCTTAACCCCTTCCCGCTTACGACCTCAGCCACCACAAAAGTGGAAACGCGGCCGCTTAGCCACCGTTTTATTGTTATCCTTTGTTTAATAAGCAATTGCTCACATAACGCACATACATAAGTTGGAAAAATTGCCTATTGAATGTTTATTTTATTATGAATTCTGGGGCTTTTACCGGTAATACAGCTTTTTAATTCAGAAGACTTTTCATAATTATAAATTTGTCATATCATAGAAATTGAAAACATAAATCTAAATAGGTATACGCAACGATTTTTCATATAGGAATATTCGTTGTGTCTATTTATAGCATTTCGCACATTGCGTGGTGTACTTTTACTTTTCGAAGTTATATTTTTCGATGTTCCCTCATCTGGAACTACAAATTAGTACTCAAAAAGATTTCATTTGAGTATCTTTGGTTGTATCTCAGCGATTTTGTTCCACTGTAGCTGCCTTTGTACATCCATTCCTCGCGTTTAAACTTCATCTTCAACTGACCTACTAGCGTCTTTTATTGCATCAACTTCTTCATTACTGAAAATCATTTAAAAACTTCGTTCTGTAGTTCAAGGTCAGCTTACCTCCTCTTCCTCTGGATCTTTCCACCAGGCACTCTTTGACCAGGCTTTCTTTCTCCATAATTTTGCTTTCGTAATTAACAGCCATTTTCGCGAACCTTAGTCTTAGCTTTTCTCGTTTAGTCTCTTCCAGCAAAATGCAATCCGGTGTACATTTTCTAATCCAAGTGTCCACTTGAGGTACTACTTCTGAATTTTTGCCATCTCTTCAACATCTTCCCACCCCCATATTTCGGCTCCATATGCCATTATATTGACTATAAGGCTCTCGAACATTTTTACGGTTCACCTATACTCCAAGTATATACATATACATAAGTATACACTATAACAGCCTTTTTGACTCTTTCATTGATATGGCTCTATTTTTTCCGCTACTCTTGAATAGGT